TTGTAGCTCGTTGAATTAAATCACTTTCATAAACTTATTTAAAATTTGTGTCTGTTTGCGAAATTATACACATAAATAATTTTTAGTGACGATGGTCATTGATTAGCTGTTAAATATATATATGTATATCAGTACCATATGTCGATACGAGTAATATTACTAATGTTATAAATGCGAAAGTTTAGATAGATGGGTGTTTGTTAGAGTTTGTAGCCTAAACGACTTAACGGATTACGATGAAATTTGGTACAGATGTAGATGATAGTCTGGAAAAATACTTAGGCTACTCACTTTTGTTTTTTTTAATTACATACAGACGAAATCGTGTGCGAAATCCAGTGTTACATATTTTAAGAAAATAACTAGATAGGTCATTAGATGAACCACCAAAATGTTAGAAATAGGAAGAGAACAATGTCTTCGACACATGCTCACCAGACTTTTTTTTAACTTTATTACATAAAAATTATGTTCGTTCTTGACAACGGATCAATTTTTAGTCTTCCCTCTCTTTTCCTAACCTCTTGAACTTCTGATATAACAAGACGCTTACTTTCACCTTTATCTCTTGAAAATTGTTCTTAGTCTTACTCATATTTCTTTTCCAATCCGTTTTCCCTTCTACTTGTATTATGGTGGTTGTGATTATTACTCGTTGAGGACTTTCACAACCATCACCATAGGGGTGTTCGATGAATACTAACATGTGCCCATGCCCCTGTGAACGGTGAGGTCGAGTGAACCATAGGGGGGTTAGTGGGTAGGCTCCACGTTCCTATCCATTTGGGCAGGGATGTGGAGAGAGTCCCACATACCCTGTGTCTTTCTCCAAGGTACCTGGGATGCGTAACGCTTTCTTCTCTTAAAAAAATATGGTGGTTACAATTATGTTGTTATCTTACGATGTCATTATCATTTTTTTTTATAGTAAAAGGGGGCAAACGAGCGGCGTGTACACCAAGGTGGTCAACGACGCCCATGGACATCCGCAACACCAGAGGAATTACAGATGCGTTGCCGGCCTTTGAGGAAATGATAAGCTCGCTTCTTGAAGGACCCTAAGTCGTATTGGTTTACTTTTAGATCTCAAGATTATTTAACATGATAATGTTTGTATTAACTGTAAGAACGCTTTAGTATTCCGCAATTAATTGCGTATGAGTGCAGTAATTCTGTTTCATTTCTAATAATTTTTAAGGCGAAATCTTGAATAGCTTTTAAACTTTGCCGCTGTTGAGTTTCTAATATGAAGTGCCTAATTATTGATAATATTATCAGTCAATATGGCACATCGCTAACATACATTCTTATCTTTAAGCAGTAGACATTAACAATTGCCTTGTATTTACTATTACTGCCTTTAACTATATAATATTAGGTTCGGTTACATTTAAAATTGGATTTTAATATGCTTGTAAATATTAATCGATTCCAGAACTTAAGCCATTTATTATAAAGCAATTCTACTATAGTGTATACGTTAATAGCTTCAAATTGTATAGTATACATACTCGTTATAACAAAAGAACCTGTACAATACTTTTGTGCTCTTCTTTATTTCTTTTTTTTAACTTTTTGTTTTTTTGATATTTTGCTTTGGAAACCTACTGTTGGTTACGGTACACCTTACATTAATGATAATTGTTCAATAATTCCTAAATAAGATTACTGTCAGTCCTAGTCCAGTGTTTCAATGCAGCAAAAAGTATAAGAATTTGAAATATACCTGAATTATCTAGAGTAACTTAGTGTTAGAGATGACATTGCAGTACTTACCACCTTAGTGATTCAATATCTGCTTGTGCGTTCTTTTTACAATTAACCAATATGGTTGAAGGTAGTGATATGTAGCATTTTAATTTCCCACAAGTCGACTTAGCCTATACTATTTTTTTTTAATCTTTGTTTTTAAGAGCCCAATGGTAGTACAAACGATGGGCTATCGATCTTGCGATCGTGGGTTCGAATCCCTTCATTAAACTATCGTGAGCCCTATGTTATTCTTTCTTTCAGTACTCCTGTACTTCTTCTAATGTATTAGGTTTAAGCATTTAATTTTGTATATTACTGTTTTGATAAATGAAGAAGATAACTTCTTTGTTTGGGATTTATGATTTCAGTGGCAATATAATAAAAAAAGTTGCATTTAAACTCTACAAAAAAAAGTGTGCAATATGATATTGTTTTTTCATTATTTACATTTTCATACACTACTACGATAGTGACCCAAAAGAAATTGACTACTTTTGTCAGTTTTGTGCGATTATTATTGATATAATAGAAACGAGGGCCTGTGGTCACAATAATGGCGGAGGCGGAAGAAGAAGAGTGTAGCGGAGCGTGCATCGGCCGCGGAGTTTGCGCGCCGAGTGACAGAGAACTGCGCGCCGCGCAACCCAATTGGTCGCCCCTCTGAGCCCGCCCTGGCGGGGGGCGAGCGGGGCAGGGGGGTAAACTCGAAACTCACACAAGCACACCACACCTAAGATAATTTATTTTATGTTATACCGTTTGAATATTTTATATCTGTGTGAGTTTTTTGCGTTCAGTGTGAAATATTCGCGCGCGATAAGAAAGAAGAGGGGAACAGATCGATCCGGGTAGCGTTGCGCTTTATTCCCCCGTACACGTTCGGGTTTGTTTCGTTGTTGTTTAATTGTTGGATAGTACCAGAAGAACGGAGCGCCTAACTCTTGTCCTCAATTGGAAACATCTCATAGCTTCCAACCCTGCTTCTACCTTACTAAAAAAATACAGGTTTATAATTGATCAGGTTGTATTTAAATTACTAAATAATAGTTATTATTAATATAACAGTTACCTAATTGTAGCAGACGCAGAAACATAAGTCTACAAAACTAACACAATCCAGACAAAAAATCCAATTTCTTTTGATGAAATTACCTTACAAATACTCGTATATTAAAATCAGTACGATGTATTGAATTCTGGTAAACCCTTCTCGCTTCTTCTACCTACCTATAACCACACATTTGCAGATGCATACTCGTCAGTTACGAGTACTCCTAACATAAGCTTATAAGTAAAGTATAATATTCAAAAGTAAGCTAATAATAAACATAAATTTGAAGGTTATGATAATAATAAATTTTAGGTAAAAACAGAACTTAATCGAACATTAAAATATGTTTATAGTTTATTTCTTAAGTGTAGCGATCTCTACATTAAGAGAATTCTTTAGTAGTATTTCGGTCTTTATATAAAGTTTGTGACATCGGTGAATTTAATGAAAGGAATTAAAATATTTCAACAAGTTAATTTTGATAATGGTTTGGAAATAAAATAAGAAATTAAAAACATTCTTAACCATCTTTTAAACGAAAAGTAAGGACTTTCGAATAAATTAATACATATATCAAAGATTAATACTATTAATTAGACATAATAAAAAATAAGTGAATATAGTTTATAACTTTGTTAGTAGATGAGAATTAAGTTGAAGGTATTTCTTATTGGATCGCTAACTGAGTATTAAGTTGCAAAGTTTCGGCTTCACGATGAAGACTTCTGGACAACTACTATAGGTACCCTCTAGGTTAAAGTAATACCAAATAAATGTGGTAATTTTAGATGTATTGAAGACATGCATTTGAAAAAATATATAGCTTCTAAATGTGTTGATAGAAATTTAGTAATTGCACTATCTTTTTGACTATCAAGAAATAAATTTTCGAGCATTTCTAACACACCCAGAGTTGCTGTAGCTCTATCACTATTAAGCGTTTTCATGAATAAAATATGAACAACACCATAGCTTGGTGATTAAAATAGAATCTTGATCTGACATGGATCTTGCCTTCAAATTCAGGGTAAATTTAGTTGATCAACTCAAAGTATTAACAGACTTGACAATATCTACCTAGAATAGTGCTTCTCTTAGCATCACTGATGTTAAGAGATGTAAATTTATAAACAAATCAATGACATTACAATATAACATTTTGAATAAAGTACATTCCTGAATTTCTCTGTCTTTGACCTGATTTTCCGTTTCAATAGATTAGTTTAATATTCTACACGTAACGTTAAAGTCCTCTTAATTTAAACTGTTAATGTGAGTTCAGTCTTTGCTCGCAGAGTTGATAAATGGGGCATCTCTTAAGTAAATAATGTACTCGATAAAATATCCTAGTTAACATTCACACAAACTCTTTTATAGTAAGAAATTGATCAGTGATTTTTAAACAGCAGTAGGTTTCATAAAAAAAAAATGATTTATCTTTAAAACAAAAGACATCACACTCTATGCATGCAACCATAAGTAACGTAATACATCAATTACTTTTGTGCTAGATTCCGTAAAAAGTTAAACAAAGCCTTGTTGCTCTCTTAGTCACGCAAGATAACAACGGATTGTAACTTATACAAGAGATTGTACATATGTTGCTACTAGTAGTACAGCAGAGTGACTTATAACAACGAGCGGTATTGTAACAGAACGCCACTGAGTTTCAACAGTCTCGAACTCTACGCGGCGACGTGTTACAGCGGCAGAAATATAAAAAAAAACTAAAGATTACAAATGTCGTGGTTACCTTTAATGACATGCAAAGCTATCATTAAGTCAACTACGGCAAACTCGCTCGTCGTGCGCCTCGTCCTCACTGTTAATTATCACAATATATATATACAGCGTATAAAGCGAAATAAAAGAGACCGCTCCATAGCGGCGGCAGCATAAAAAACACGAGAAAAGAAAGAGAAGCTTTTGAAAAAAAAGAAAGGAGTGCATCTCCCCACCCGGAGACTCCCCACCACCGGGCGGCGGCGAGCGGGAGCGGGCGAGCGGGCGGGCGGCCGCTCGCGGGCACCACCCACCGCAGCGCAAAAATCGAGAGCGTCGGCAGCGCGCGGGGTCAAACGGCGACGTGGAAACGCAAACGCACACAAAGAGAGACGAGGGCGAGAGGGACGGGTGAGGCGCGAGAGGGACGGCGGCGCCAATTACTATCACCTGGCGGGCCGCTACCGCATTACCCACTGGCGGCGCGCGCGCGACGACGCGCCCGCTGCTCTCCGCGGCCGCTCCGCTCCGCTCCAAGCTCCGCCGGCAACCGGGCCCCGCGCCATCGATCCCGCCGCCGCGCCGTACTCCGCGCCGCACGCTGCACGCTACACGCTACTCGCTCCGCGCGGACAACATGAAACTGTGAAGTGTCGTGCCGTGCGGACAGTGATCATTGACTCCAGTGATTATTACACACTTATTTAAAACTGTGAAAAATGACGTCCCAGTTCGCTTTCCGTGGATCGCCCCCCAACCAGGTAATGTCAGGAACATTTTACTAATTGTTATTTTACTGTTTTATAACAAAATATTGTCTTATTTATTATACAGGCTTGCGATATGTTTTAATTTCTTTTAATATTTCATATTATTTCAATGCGCTCGTGGCATATTTATGTGGTTACGGATTCTAGTAAAGTTGTTCGAAAGTTATTCAAAGTTTAAACGTTAACCGTTCACTCAACGATGTTGTTTGGTTAAATTCAAAATTAAACAATGTTTTAGATTTCAATTAGGTTGGTTATTTAACGCTTTGAAGTTCTAAATTTTTAATTTTAAAATACATTTAGCATCTTCTAACAAATGTATTTTTTTAATTTCCTTAAATTTACGTGCTACGGGGAAGCAAGATAAAATTAATTTTGTTTTGAAATTAATACACATATCGATTTAAATTCTAATAAAGATGTAGCTATTTGTGCACATTCTTGCACAAACGTAATTTTTTTTTTCCTACTTTATGCAACAAAATAAATGTCCATCATCATTCCGATTCTGATTGGTACAAAACTTATTGGTTCTAACTTAAAATACAACTAAATGTTTTCATATTAAATTTAAACATATTTATAACCAATAAATTATTAACAATCTTTTTTTCATGCAGAAATAATCCGTGATATTAGAAAAAACAGTTTCCAACAAGAAACATGTTTCGTGTTCGTTTAACTTAAAGTTATCTGAACTTTAACATGATCAAGTATTACTTATACGGTGTTTCAGTAATTTGAGGCGTGTTCATATTAAGCCGTGGTGTAAACTTATACTTTACAATGCGATATACTGATACTCATATGATATTTAACTTAAAATTATTTTAAGTTACGATATAACTTAACTATTTAATATGTAGTACAATGAAAATATAAAAACTGTTAGAGAAATAATAAATTTGTCTAAAGTTTTGCAACTACTTATCTATAATAAAAGATGAAAGAAATGGGACTTATGTTGTTTGTTGGTTTTAATGTATTTTTAACTTAGAAAAGAAACCAATCAAATTGAAAATCTACGCCTTTTAAAGTATAAAATAGTAGTAAATATAAAGTTAATACTTTTGAAGAAAGTGCATGAATTCCTTTTAAGACATAAGATAATGGGTTAAACATTGTTTTAGAATTGTCTAAATTGTTGATAACTTAGATTACTTTGCTATTTTAGTAAGTAATTTAAATTTATCATTCTACTCGTTTAGTAAAGACGAATACTTTATTATTTGTTGTCTAAAACGATCAAATTATAATCCAAAACAAAACTTGACTAGATTTTCGTGCGAACGTTGGAATATTTTTAATAAAAAAAAATATTTTACGACCACTAAATGTCTATTATATCTCACGATCAAAAATTACTGCATGATTAATAGCAAATATCACTGTCTTCGAAATCATCGAACACGTCAGATAATTTTTGGAACGTATACTCGTACCTGTTGAATTGTTATTTCCACACATTACCGCTTGGCCGACACCCAAATAATATTCCCGCATTCTATATTCAAAAAAAACCGTTTATTTATTTTTTAAATGTCATTATAAATTAAACGTATTAATTTGTGTTTGTTCTATATTTGAATTTGATTTGTACCGTCTGTCTAGCTATTGTTTCCTTAAGATCTCAAACCCTCGTTAATTATACACGCGATATATTATTCTCTGTGATAAGGTTAAAATTCGACATAGTAATGCTTGTCAAAATTCAACTTCATGGTAATTACAAATTTTTCTACAACAATCTTTGAGTATTAGATACGAAGCTAATACGAACCAATTCGGTATATTATATGTTAATTAGTGGTAAGCAAGACAAATTTTTTTATAAAGGAATTTTAAACACATTTAACTTATTGACATAACTTATTTATTATTCATTAATATATAAATTCGTTTTTCATTACTTACGAATTACTTACATTAAAGCAATCAGATGTATGTATCCCAAATTACCTTGTCCTCATGTACATTTTTTGAAGTTTTTGAAAATGAATAATGTAAAAGTCGAATAGTAAACGCATCATTTAAAGTCACTCAGTCGTAAATGTTTTCTACAAGACATTTTATTTATTTACCGAGACCATATCATTTTATTGCGCCTATTAAAGTAACGAATACGAAAGCCTCACAATTACTGACGATTGCGACGAGAGTTGGCAATACCGCACTGTAATTAATAGCCTAGATATAATTATGTACTGAATAAACAAGCGCTATTTGAGACACCGCAAAGTTTTAATATAAAGAGGCCGCACTCTGAAGGCTAGGCACCCGCTATGTAAGCTCAATTTAATGCCTCGATCGAGCTGTTTTTTTCTCATACGTTTATTCAAGTTGTTTGTCGTCGGAATATTCTGAGAAGACGCATGTTGCTCGACGAACTCTATTTGTATTCATTATTTAAGTATTGTCCTCCTAATTATCTCTTGAATGCATAGTAGTTCAATTATTAGGTTCGCTGTCAATGATATTTGTTATCCGATAACGGTTTATTAAATTTCATGGGTGTTTAATATTGTTGGTGGGTTTTATCTGTCTATTGGATTCGACGCGCTATATTAAAATAGTGAATCCTAAGTAAGTAGACGTTAATAAAGATAATATTATGGAACGATTCGGTCGGGGCCTCGTGCGTGACGTTTGCGATCCACTTTTGCTATCTCGTTGATAAGATGCCACCATGTGGTGAGGGAGAGGGGAGAAATCCCTCCCCCTTGGGAATTATACTCATTATTTCTTATATCCAAGCTATGTCCGCATCCAACTGCTTCTTTACTTTGTCCGGAGTATGTGTGGAATTTAATAGTTCACTTAGTTTATCCACATCTAATGCTTTTATTTTAAAAATAAAAAGCTTTACTCGATTCTGTAATACATTTAAAAAAAATAATCTTACTAATCTTACTTCTTACTATTATCATAAATGCGAAATTAAACATGGATGGATAAATGGATGTTTGCTAGAATTTGTAGCCTAAACGGCTTAACGGATCTCGATGAAATTTTGCATAGATGTAGAGGTTAGTCTGAAAGGACACACACTCATATTTGTATTTTTTAATTCCACGCGGACGGAGTCGCGGCCGAAAGCTAGTTACAGAATGAAATACAGTTGTTTAATATGAGAACTAATATAAAATAAATCCCTTTACTTTGTATAATGCAGCTTTGAAATTGTGTTAGGATTTGTAGTTGTTTTTATTTTGTTTTGTCTAATAGACATAATACTATGTAAATCTTAATTTCAGTTTAATAAAACTCCTAGAATTATACCATAACAAAATAATGATTCAACGTAACTTTTATTCTACGAACTAGCTATTGCCCGCGACGTCCACGCAATATTAAGATAAAAATGTAGCTTATAATATGCCCGTCTATGTCAGCTACCCTTCAGTGAAAGTCTGATCGAAATTTCGGAGATTACCCGGAACATACGGACAGACAATAATACAGTCAAAAAAAAATTAAATGCGATTTTCGTTATCAACATCGCAATTACATCATCTTCCCGAAATCTGGAAGTTTTCTTTTGATATTACAAACAGACAATTTTATTATATGTATAGATGTTCTTACAGTAAGGGAACGGATAATAATTTACCGTTTGTTGATCAAATGTTATCAAACGTTTAAATACAACATACTAAGGAACTTTTGAAGCATAACAATTCTTAAAATATTATTATTTATTTTCTCTATAGATAAACAAAACTTATAGAACAATGTATTAAAATCTTTGTTATACAGGATGTTTTATTTTGATATTATTAAATAAGCTTCGCTCGTGTTTAATATTTAAATTTTTCTTGCAACTTAATATTTGTCTTATTCATAAACAAGATTGCGATGAATTTTAAATAAAAGAACCTTATTTGAAAATATCTTATTAAATAATAATCAAGATGTTTAACTGATGTTTTAGATAATAGCTTAATAATAGAATCATAACAAAATTATAAACGCGAAAGTTTAGATGGATGTTTGTTAGAGTTTGGAAACAACCGAACGAATTCCGATTAAATTTGGTAGAAATGTAGATGATTGTCTGGAAGAACACATAGGCTACTCAATTTTGTTTTTAATTCCACTTTGATGGAGTCACGGGCGAAAACTAGTTATATCATAAATATACGCAATAGATCAATTTATTGATTGTTTCCCTTTATTGTGTTAAATATAGTGTAATATTTTGTAACAGGTTTTAAAGGTTCCGTAAAAGTTTTTTACAGAAACCATCATTATTAAACTTTTATTTTATTAAATACACGTACCTTTCAACTCCGCAACAAGGATTAACGAACATAATAAAACAATTGAGGCGAGCATAAAGTTCAGTCTTAAATGTACGCTTAATCGGAATTCCGACGGGGTTTTTTCTCCGACACCATTCAAGTCCCATTGCGTTCATGGTGTTTTTATTTAAATAGCAATTAAGTACAAGAATGGGCTGTAAACGTTTATGCCGCGTACGCTTTAACGCAGACTGTTCACTAAGACCCTAGTGGCATCATTTTACTTGCCAAATAAACTGGTTCTCTGCCATTTTATTTCAAGTGGACCGTGCTGTAACACTTATGGTAAATATATAAAATTATTTTTAACTCATAATCCAAAAAATACCTAATTGTTTATGATGTCGAGAAATTTGACATGTTTTCTTAATAAATTTTACTACAAAGTCAAAAATTTTACAACGTGATCTTGCACATGACATAGGGTAGTTTTACGAAAAGGATTTTCATAACAGCGCCATCTTGTGGCTGTTGTTCACCACTAAGAATTAATTTTTTAACTTCCAACAAGGAAAATGATTGTTAAATATTTTATATTATAATATCCGAGACGTGTACTACTATTAGATACATATTAAATAAAGTTTTTGTTGAGACAATTTAAACAAAACTAGCAAAAGTTACTGTTAATTCTGTGCCACGAGGCTTTATAATTAAATTAAAAGCGCTATAATAAGGCATTTAAATAAG